CAAAACCCCAAAACCCCAAAACCCCTTATGATGTTTTAATATTAAAAAAGAAGAAAAGTGATGTTGAAAATAAATAAATGTTCTTGGGTAGTGAAGTAAAGAAATAAAATATAGTAAATTATTGTTTATTAGTCAATACTCATTTTAATTCATCAATATGATTGTTCCTTAATTTATCACTACTGATTAGTATTTAACATCTGTAGTTACTGCATGCTGTTTTCTCTTTGCAAATGCTAAGTGAGAGTGTTGTTCTTTCTCTTTTGATTATTCTTGGCCTTAGGCTCGGTGATCTTGATCAGAGTTTCAGGGCTTCGGTACATCTTGATCAGCAAATCATATAGCTTTTTCTCTCGAACCAAATCTCCTTCTAGCTAAGCAATGAATATACCCTCGCATATCTCAAACAGCTACTCAATATCATCCATTTCCTCGTATATGACTCTTTAAGAGATTCTGTCAAAGATTAGTCTTAGGAAACGACCAATAGCGACCACGATTGTGGCATAGAGACCGACTACTGAAAGTTGGAAGGCACTACCGAATAGACTGCCAATGACTTCCTCGTTGTAAGAGATTATAACTAAGTTATTTGGGTCTAGTAGCATGGTCTCATTGTACTGCTAATTAGGATGCTTGAGTGCAGGAGTTACTTCTGCATTTTACTTGAGCATTTACTTTGGATGAGCCTTAGTTTGGAATATTCCTGCCTATTCAGAGTCAGGGATGCTATAAGTCCAATAGAAACCGCCTCTCTATCCTGGGATCTTATTCAGGGTAAGCTGGCAAGAGTAATAAGCTGATATATAGGTAAGTGGTTGAAGTTCCATAGGATAAGACTGCTGAGTTGAACCAAGTCTGAAGATCTTTGGCAAGAAGTTCTCAACATAAATATCGCTTGAATTAGCAGTAGATACTGTTGAATTCTCACTTTAAGTATAAATCTCATCATCTAGCATTTGTACAATTGGTTGCAGTTTAGATATGCTTATCCTTGTTTTAGTCTCTGATTGTGTATTTTCATTTCCCATAGGATTACTTCTTTTGAAGTTCCAACTACTTTTGACTTCTACAAAAGCCGATTCATCATTTTCTAGATTCCTAAAATCTTCAATGAACTTTATGAGACTTGGAGGTGAAATAGACCATTCAGTCTCAGAATAAGGACTGAAATTCATCTTCTGCATATCAGCAGCAGTATACTTAGCATTGCTCGGTGTAAAGAGTTAGGCAATACTATCTACTTCTGATTCTTACAGTTATTCAATATTGAATGCTTAACTTGTCAAAATTCTGTAGGTATTTCCATTCTTGTTCAATTCAAATGATATCTAAAGCTAGCCTCCTAGTACTGGATTCTTGACCATAATTGGATTGATTCCAGAGAATAGCAAAATTGGAGCGAGGATTACTAAAATTAGGCCAAGAGCAAAGCAAAATCCGTAAAAGAACTTTTCAACCCAAGATCTCTGGCTGTATTCTTCTCTCCTTCTTCTATCATCATTTTGCTACTAGTTCTGGTAAAGATAATTAAATGCATCATCTAGTTTAAACCATTAATAAAGGTCTAGACATGTGGCTGTCACAGTCCAGTCAGTTATAACTTTCATCTCCCACAAGAAAGGTATCGCTTTGTATATTCTGAATGCTTAGACTTTGAAGAAAGAGGTGTCTCTTGTGAAAGGAGGTTTAAATGGAGCCTAAGGATAACCATGTCTAATTTAGAGAGCGGATGAGATGAAGTACATTACCCATAGAATGTAACTAATGACTAGAGGCTGCATCTTAGACATAGTATTAAGATTATGACGAGGGATAACGAAGCCCAAATGAATATGTACTGAAATCACTAAGATAACATGTATTATAACTTTGATAGTCAGCTGATGCTTTCCAAGGATTCCAGATTAGGCATTCATTGACTAGTTATCAAAGTATCTTACTCTGAATAGCATTCTCTCAGCCATCATTAGAACCAGTATTAAGAAGAAAAGAGAAACTTGGGCTGTAGAAAATCTTTGAAGATTAGCAGCAGACAGAGCAGCACCAGCCTATTGTTCTCCAGTAACACTTCTATACCAGAATAAATTGTAAACCAAGATGAGTAGTAATGAGAAGAAATTCGCTGAGAAATAATCTTTCCCTGGCTTAACTTATTTAGCAGTGTGCAGTACATAGGGCAACTCAACTTGAGTCCTTATATTCAAATTTCTTTGTTAGGGTGATAAGTAGGTAGGCATTAATTTAAGAGCGAAATTTCTCGCTTGTTTATAAGCATACTTGAGCTTGATTTAGACCTTGCCTAAAAAGCTTTACTGATCATATTCATATATCTCGAAATTTTCTCTTTTGATAAGATTTAATCTTTCAAAATCAGTGAGTTCATCAACTTTACACTTGAAAGCTGGACTTTGATAGATGTTGTTCTTAGTCTTTACATAGTGCCACATGCCAATCTTTATCAGGTAGTTCTTCAGAATAAGTAAAGTAATCAAAACTAAGAGATCTCCAATGATTCCACTAAGTATGCCTTAGTCTTTAGGGAATGCGTAGGGTCCGGCAAATTTATGAATACCAATGATGTAATCTATCCTTCCTAAAAGCACTTCTGGAATAACTGGTTGAACTGAACATCCTTAAGAGGAATATAAACTGAAAGCTGGACTTCCGCAAAATATTGGTAATTAGTAAATAAATTTAAGTGCTAATGCAATAAGCATATATCCCGTGAGTACTTTCCAGTACTTGATACTAGCTACTGGGAAATCTAACAATGCATAAAGTAGAGCTGAAAGAGCTGGCAGAAGTGAAATGATGTTTGGACTCAATATGAAATTGATAAACAGAACCAGATAACTAATGTTTAAAGACTGTGAGAGAATACAGTTACTGAGCAGCCTTAGTATAGGCATTTTATACAAAGATATCTGTTGAGTGCTCTTTTATGTAAGTGAATAGAAGAGTTGCTTGTTAATGAATGTTCTCCATAGATAGGATCTGAGATAGAAATTGAATCTCAAAAAGAATGTAGAGGACTTGCTTTCAACCTCTTTAAACTAGTCTTGAATCATGATTATTTCCTCATAGCTCTCGAGTAATTCGAACTTTTCAAAATCTTGTGAGTTTTATGATTGCTTCTCTGAAAGAATCAAGTGCTTATAGAAGGAGTAATCACTCTGATCAAGATACTAGTAAGAACCTTTCTAAATGGCGAAATTAAGACCAACTCCTTCTTTATAGAAAAGGTCGATTCTATGTTTCTAATGAATTTACCTCTATATGACTTTGAGGATCGAAAGTAGCTCTTTTTCAATCATATTTTTCACCGTTTCAGACTCACCTTATACCTATATTGCTTCTACTAGTTCTTGATTGACCAGTAAATGATTTCTAAAAGACTCGATAAAGTACTTGAGAGGAATCACTGGTGTGTCTGGCTAAGAAAGAAGTATCAATAACAGATCTTCAATATGTGATTAATACTCATCAACAATCTCATCTACAACTGTCTTTAGACTTTCTTAATCAACAGCAGATTTATCTTCTGAAATAGTTTTAAGCTATTATCCTAAAGTCTTAGATAGTGCAGTCTGAAGAATTATATCATTTTCACTAGACCTTCCATCATTAAGTAATAATTGGTTTTCATTCATATCATCTAAGTCTTCTCCTTCTAATATTAAATGCTTTGAATATTCTTTATTTCTGATAGTATTGTTAATTCTTATCAACCTCTAATGAAGAATCTTAATCTCTTATTTTATTGCTTTATATGACCATAGCTTACTCAAATGAGTTTACTCAACAAAGATAAAGGCTCTAAGCTTTCCATCTGTTTCCTTTTCAACTTTCATATGCTCAGTCACATATATCTAAAAGTATGGGTGATGGAAAAGATGGTTTTGAATCTCAGTCAGTATTATCATGAGAATTAAATCATATTGAATTTTGTTGATTTTAACTAGACCAAGACTCTGGGTAAAGACAATATACATTCCAAAGTATGAATTGAGGTCAGTGAATTCCTCTTGATTAATGTTTCCCGATGCTTCACACTTATTTCTGGGAATAAAATGAAGGCCATTCTTAAGTGAGTCTATAGAAGGACAGAGAAATACTGGGGCTTAAAAGAGAATGACTGTAAACATCATAAAGAAATTATAGCCTCTAATGAATCTAAGCATTTGATGGTTTTTAGTGTAGAGCTTTCTAAAATTTGTGATGTAATACATCGCTATAAACAGATATCCAGCTGAAAGCAAATCACTCATACCACTTTCATGATAGGTAGCAGCAAAGATCATCAGATACGAAATCATAATGTAAGGGAATCCATTGAAGATAATGTACTGTACCATTGTATTGAACTTATTAAGTTATCTATGGCTGAGGAAGTCGTTTTCATCATATATTTTAGGCCATTTAAGAATTTATTGAGGACTTAGAGTTATCTGATCATTCAAATAAAAGAATACCACATAAGCTGACAGCAAAATCCAAAAGTCCATCAAAATATATGAGTCAGGCAAATTAGAAATAGATAGCCATTCTTACCATTCATTATAGCACTCCTTACTCTTGATAATACATAGCTTGGATGTAACTCGCTTCTTCCATGAGGTATAATCAAACTTATAGGCAGGACCAATCATCATGAAGTATTGAGCAATCATTGTGAACGAGATTACCACCAAGTAAACTCTAGTGATTAGGGACACATTCTTCTTCTTATCATTCTATTCCAAGTTGAATTAAAATCTGAGAGGGTAATATCTCTGCTTTAGGATGACCATAATAGTTGTTAGATAAAAGATAGAAGTTAAGTTGAGTTTATATAGTACCACTACTAAAGAAATGAAAATCATGATGATGTAGCCATAAGTGAAGAAGAAAATCTTGAGATAGTTGTCGCGGATATTTATGCAGTTTCTTATGGGCGCTTCAAATATCCTCAATGCTTCTTCAATTTCTCTTTTTTCTTTCTCCTGCTGCTATTTCTCAAAGCTACTTTCATTGCTATCATCTCCACTTTTATCTTCTTTATCAGAGTCCTAATTTTCTTAACTTAATGGAGATGTAAGTCTAAATAGCGACTCTGTTTTCTTGGATTCTTTCTAAAGAGCACATATAATGAGAATTTCAAAGAGCGGGATTAATTAACCGTAGACAACACTAACTTTCTCATCCTATTTTTCCACTCCAAGCCATTCAACGAATTCTTTCTTAATATCTATATTTAGGAAAATAAACTGAAGTCCATAAGTAATCAAAATTGAAATTGAAGCAAAGGAGCCGATTCTAATGTGTACATATCTCCAGAATTCAGAACTTTGTTGATACATGAGTATTATAGATGCTGTGAATATTAAGAATCCAATAGCCGATATGTAGTTTATAGAGTATTTAATCATAAAGAATATTGGCATAGGAAGCAGAATGTAATAGCTAAGAAAGTAAAGGTAGACTTTGAAGTGATGAAAGTATAGTTTAAATCTTGACTACACACTTTTTACATCCATGAATTTAAGTCTGTCCCATTCAGAGTCCTCCTCTCTTAAGATGTCTGCCAAGTATCTGTATTCTAGGTATTTTAGTTGAAGGTTTGAAATAGACATGACTAAAGCCAAACTGAAGAGCTTAACAGCTACATTTGTATTCTCTATTCCAAACAGTTTCTCAATAAGTGGCAAGTGCTCATAGTACTAACTATTTTATCCCTTAGCCATATTAGACTACTGCGCAAGATTATAGGCATAATCCTCGAACTAGAAAGTGTACTTTAGGAAGATAAAAATCAAGGATATCCATTTTAGAGCAATCAGAGTATTCCTTAGTCTTTGATAAAGTTAGATGCTTGATTCTGACTTTAGATACTTCATTACAATTGATGACATCAGAATTAGTAAGACAAAGTTCAGTACAGACACAGGGAGAATAACACATTCAACAAATAGTGCAATTACTAGTATGTAAAGCGAGTACTTTATGATGAGTTTAGTCAAGAAATCAGATAAACCAATTTATGTTTCTTTTTATCTATTGTTCAATAAAGGCTTCTCATCCTCATCTCTAAGTTCCTCTCTCATCTCAAACATATTGTACATTGATAAGAAATCTTCATATCTTTATGAGTGAAGGATATAGTGAGCGATAATTAGTATGGCTAGTAGGGCTAAATAAGGCAAATGCTTAATCAGCAGAAATTCAGAACTTTTAGATAGAGCCAGACCAATCACAGTTAACGTTGAATCTTCTAATTTTAATACTTCCTCAGGTCTGAATACATCAATTACATAGAGACAAATAATAATCATGCTAGTGTATATTATTGTAGCAACCCAGTATTTTTACACATTTCTATAGCTTGCAATGGTCATGAACAAAAATATCAAGAACAGGCCTGCATTAAACAAGTTTGGTTTGCCCACAGAAATCATGAATATGGCAATTAGAGCGAATTTGGCTGAATGGATAATCAGGAAGTCTAAAAGCCTGTCAAAAAAGTAGACTAATTTCAAGTAGACCTTGAAAAGTACTCTTCTCAATGTTCCTCTAAAAGTCTCATCTCTGTTTACATCTATGCCTTCTGGCCTCTCTCTATTCATATATGTTTAAGTTCTACCTAGGCGATTAGTTTTCTTATTTTAAGTTGACTGAGAAAAAAGTTCATCTTCCTAATCTTCTTCTTTCTTATCCTCTAAGATTGCAATAGGGTTGTCTCCATATTTCAATTTTTAGCTTTACATATAACTCATTTCAGATGAAGTTCCATAATTTTGATAAAATGTGTTAGTCTTGAAACTTATTTTAGATTTGGCCTCTGAAACATCATCAGGGATAGTTAGCATATCCTCATCATATCCATTTTTAGCCATATATGCTATTCTGGAACTTTATCTACTTGGTTAGCTCACTTACTTCTATTTCTTTTATACATAGTGACCGAAAAACGCCATAAGCATGAGCATAAAGTAATCTAAATAAAAAGGAAGTATCCCATTTAATATTTAAGCATTTCTTTAAACCCCTAAGATTCTCTCAAAGTAAGTAATATAATCCTCTTTAAACTGTCCATTAGGTAATAATAAGAAAACAATATGGAATGTGTTTTATGCAAGTAGGAATAAACTTAAAATTACCATCAAAGCTCTTGAAACTCCACAAAATTCTTGCTGTTCCATAAAATAACCATATATGATGAGAGGTAGTAACGTTAGAAATATGATAGCTGGATGAAGAAGACAAAATATTAGAGCTATAGAGCAAAACACAAAAATTGATATTGGTTTGAATATTCTGTAGGTGAAGGATGCTCTTTTCTTGAATAATCTTTTCAATTCTGGTTTCTCTCCATGAATAACTTTTATACTATCGAGAGTTTTTTAATAGTCATGACTATATTGTATCTTTGAGCACTCTATCAAAAATAAGAAGATTTTGATGTAGAATTCATAATATGTGGGTTGACTTGAGAGTAACCCAACAACCTAGTTAAATAATCGCTGCTCTTTCGCTTCTTGTGCAAAATTTCCACCTTTCATAAAATACTTGACAGTTAGATCAACAATTAGGAGGGAAACTAGTACCAAATTTATTCTCCTAGAAGCTGACAGTAATGCTTTTTGAGATTTATTAAAAGCCATTATCAAGCAGAGAATCAAAAATAAAATGGCATAGGGTATAACTAATATAGTGCAAGTTATTGATGAAACTGATGCAAGAGTTAACAATTCTAGCTAGACATTCATAGCACTCTTAAACTTATAGTCCTTAATGATTTAGACAGCTCTTTAGATTTGGTAGTTTCTCATATTTTCAACTTACTCAATAGGATCCGCAAGACGCTACGATTTAAAATTCTAGCCTAATGATTCCTCTTCTTCGTTTTTCCTAGTTTGCAAGAATAATAATGATAGAATAAATAGAGCCAAGCATGAGAGTAAAGTGTATTCTGTTTCATACGTAGGCACCATATCTCCCTGTGAAAAATATTATTAACTACACCAAAAGGTGGGTGGGAGGGTATTCGAAAATACTTACTATGATTTAAAGTGCCTTCTCTATTGTTAATTAGCCGTATGTTTAATTCTTTTAAAGGATAGTATCTGTTAAATATGATTTCTAGTATTTTTGTAAGATTTATCCCACCAGGACACAGAGTAAAGTGAGTGATGATGTCATAACAAAAATAGTTGAGAAAAAACCTCTGATATTTCGTTTGTTTTTCCTGATGTTTAACAATATATCTATCGGCTCATCGTGGACTATAGTATAAAAGATTATTGAATAATGAGAAAGGTACTTCTTAGGGCAAAGTAAGAAAATGCATGGACTAAAAATAGAATGAAAAAGGCAAGTCCAAAATAATCGAATTAGATTGTCACTGATACTCCCAAAAGGAAGAGAGAGTACACATATTTATTTATAAATGTCCAAACTCTCGTATTTCAAGCAATCAATTTTAGATTAGGATCCTTTTTAGAAGTAGCTTGGCTGGCAGGGAATTCTAGAGAATTTTGACCGTTAATAGAAGAGTCTGCCCTTCCTCCATTGATAGAAATATTGTTATTCATTTTCTTAATAACAAGTATTATTTTATTTAAAATAAATTACACTCAATATTTAAACCTATTAAAAGCTTTAAATCTTAAAAACATTTAAAAGCTGCATATCTCCCTTTTAGTTCCTTATTCAACCAAGTCTTAAGATGATATGGATGCCTGAGTCAGAGTCAACAAGTCCACTTAGTTCTCCAACTTGAAGAGCGAATGCAGCTTCTTCAAATTATTGTTGCATTTGACCTCTTCCAAATACTCCAAGATCACCTCCATTGGCAGCGCTTCTGCACTCACTGAACTCTTGAGCTAGTCTCACAAAGTCTTCGTGGCTGCTGATTTGACTTTTGATTTGTTCAATTCCATCAATTGCATCTTGCTTGCTTCTGGTGACTTACTTGTTTCTATAGGAGTCAACAGGATTTCTTGATCCGGTGTGCTTCAACAAGATATGTGATGCTCTAACTTGAGTTGGTGAAGACATTTCAAATTTTACTTCTTAATTATTTAAATTTACTCTAAATTGCAAAGATATTGAATTTTCCGGGGTTTTGGGGTTTTGGGGTTTTGGGG